ATGTAAATTCAATCGGTCAAGATACAAAAGATCCGCGGTGAACTAGCCGTTTACAGACTCATACCTAAATTTCGGGATGTCACAGATTTCATCCTTCTCCCCCCGATTTTATCCCCTCGACGAAGCAACAGCAGGAGCGACTTCCATCAACAGGTAAAATTTCATCCTTTCTTCCTTCCTTCTCGTTCCAGCTTTCTTCTTTGAATGTTCTGGTTAATTTATTCTTTTCTTCTTTGAATGTTCTCGTTCCAGATTGCGTTCTTCATTCCGATTTTTCTTAATTGTTTGCTGATTTCTTCCCCCCATTCGTTCCTTCTGTTTTTGGCTGAGAAATAGATAATTATTTAGTGGGATTTCGTTTTTGTTGAGATGTATACGATTTATGTGTTTGGCTGAGAAATCTCCCCTTCTGTCTCAGATAAGGTATATGTTTTGGCTTGTAAATCATGCATTGAAAGTTGCACCTTGCTCTTGGAAGCATATAACATAAAGAGTAATCGATCTACTTCTAATATTTATGTTTTTTGTTGCAGCTAAAACAGTATTATCATCTACTATCATAGAGCTTCAAGACATATTAATTGTGGATTGATTATGGTTTTGTTAGATGTTTTTTAGAGTTATTGCAAACAAAGAGTGGCATCCAGTTTTGTTCCTTCAAATTTAGAATTTTATCTATTATTTATTTAAAGGTGATTAGTGTAGAGTGGTTGATTAGATTTGTAAGTTATGTGTAGATGAGCTTAAATGGTGTTGCAATTTGTGATCAATTAGATACCTTCTGGACTCTTTACAAATATATACTTGAGGATGTTAAAATTGTTAGTTTTTATATAAGTTTTTTAAGTATTATTTTATTTTCACCGGTTCAACAACATTAGTACCACTTGATTCAACCTTACACCCATTTATGTGGCGTTTTTCTCTTATGTTTTAAAGGTTATTAACCAAAAAATTGTTTGTTTTAACTGTGATAATCACTTTGCAATAGGTGTTGGGTGCGATGGTGTGAAAATTTTGAGGGATGGATTAATATGATGTGACAGTTTGTATTTGTATAATTATTTTATCTAGCACAACATAAGGGTAATATGCTCATTTTTCATCATTCATCACAGTCAGTCAGATAAATAATCAAACAGCATAAACTCAGTCAGATGTGGACACAGTCAGAACTTCTAACCCAGTCAGCTCTAACCCAACTAGCAACTATCAAACGACCCCTTAGCATCGAAGACTTGGTTATCCGAGTACCACTATTTTTCACTTTCTTCAGTTGCGCGATTTTATTTCTTATCCTAATAAATATGTATCTTTGTGTCATGCTTGTCAACTTGGAAAACATCGTTGTTTACCTTTTTCTTTGTCTACAATCAAAACCAGTCATGTTTTTAAATTAATTATTCTTATTTATGGACCTCTCATGTCACAAGTCTTAGTGGTTTTAAATACTACATACTCTTATTAGATGATTTTTTTTCATTTTTATGTGTTTTTTCGAGTTTATGTGGTCGATCAATTTAAAACTAACATTCAACTTTTTCAAAGTGGAAATGGTAAACAATTTAATAACAAACCTCTACTTTATTTTTTTTCAAAGATAATGTCATAAAAATTCGCTTCTCATGTCCTTATACGTCACAAAAAAAATGGTAAAGTTGAACACATAATTCGAACCATAAACAAAATAATATGTGCATCCCTTATACAAGCCCTCCTTAATTCTGGGCAGAGGCCCTTCTTTCCGCTGCTCACACGTTTAATCTTTTACCTACAACTATTCTCAATCTTCAAACTCTGTTTGAATTTCTTTTTGGCCTTTTTCTATCTTATGACCATCTCCACGTCTTAGGGTGCCTCTGCTACCCGAATCTCTCTTCCATTTCTCCTCACAAACTCTCACCTCGATCGCCGACTTGTGTTTATCTTGGGATGTCTATTGACCATCGCTGTTATCGATGTCTTGACCTCATCACACGAAAGGTCATCCTCTCCTGTCATGTCATTTTCGATGAATCCCACTTTCCTTATTCTAACTTCCATGCCTATCCATCTCATCACACATATGACTCGTTCATTCCGGAAGATGAATCATCTCCTCTACAACAGTCGTTAAACTCTCACCCTTCTACCCCTACTATCTCGGTTCCTACCTCCTCGGATAACACCAACCCCACACCTTCCTCTCCAACTCCTCCATCCACTTTCGATCCCTCTATCGTGACTCCTACCACTTCTTCCTCCTCGAACAATCATCTGATGGTTATCTGATCCTGCATTGGCTTCCTCAAACCGAGACAAATTTTAAATTGCTCTGATACCATGATAGATAATGTGGAAACTCCATTAATTAGAGTTGTATGTACTGATATTAATATATAGTGAAACATATTACATAAGAGCCCTTATACTATACATAAATGAGTAAAAAAGTATAAAACTATATAACAATACAATTATATTACTAGTTTTTTAATGGCATTTTAAAAGAAGAGATTAATCAAATTTACAAAATGTTTATATTTATGTATGAATTTTTCTCAAGATCATATAGTAATTAATTTAAACTAGAATTCTAATAAGCATTGATTCCTCTCATCATCTTCTTGCTTAACTCATCTCATCATTTTCTTGCTTAATTGTTAATGTTGTAGAAATCATAACTTAAACATAATGTAGTTAATGTTTAAATATACGTTTAAAATAAGAGAAATTAAATATCCTTATACATTTTATTCTTATTCGGCCTATCTATCTTAAATGTTGACATGTGTCACATTAAATTAAATTAATAATATTTTAATATATTTGTCACAATTTAATATGGGTAGGAGGATTGATATGAAAAAAATGTAGGAAAATATTTAATTTCTCTTAAAGTAATTATTATAAATCAAAGTTGTAACGATTAATTTATATTGTTCAACAAAAGCTATTTTTGTGATGATTTATAATTTTTAACTGTTAAACAAAAGGTTATGGAAATGGAAAATAATTTTATATTAAAAAACCATAATTAGCAATGTAAATACAAATATGTTAATACCTAATATATTCAATTCTCATATGATAATTATTTGATTTCAACTTGTAAAAATATGATTGAGTAGCAATGGACGTTACTATTTTAACGATATAGGCAAAGAACTTTAGTTCTTACCTGCAATAGCAATGTTAATTCATTTCTTTACGTATAAGAACATTGTACTTTCAATTACTTACCAATAATAACAACAAACTTGGTTCTGTACTAATAAACACCATCACACTTAGAATTTCCTACCATATTAGCTATCTACGCATATTTTTCCAAACATTTAGATAATGATGAGTGAAATACCTAAAATACACTGCGAGTGTTTATTTTTGAACCGCATAAATTACAAATACACACACAATAAAATACATGTACAGGCTAACACATATATGTTTTAGAGAGCCCAATCAATTCAAGATTTTCTTCGATCCAACAAAAAAAATCCCTCAAAATCCTTATAAACCATCGATTGCTAAATAGTTAAATCCCTCTGTAAACATGACATGAAGTAGGTAAAAGAAAGAAATCATAAGGGCTAGAGTAGAAGTGGCTGCACTCATAATAAAAAGACCACCAAGTTTATCAAGCGTCAAGGAAAGCTCGGGCATTGTAGAATTTCTGGACGGAAGAGGTATCTGATTCTCATACCACTTGTTCTCCAAACTTCTTAGAGTTCCGTCTAATCTTATCTTGGCGATTTCTCTTGATAAGTCTTCAACAAGTGGTGAACCTTTTTGGAATATCTGGATAATAAACATGTCAACCATGGGTGTATATGACAATATGCAACACGCTTCAGAAAAATGTAAAGTTATGTTTGGCATATGGCTTAAGAAAAATGTTTTAAAGTGTTATTATTGAACGTCATGCAATCGATGACAAACCCACCGATTACTTTGTTACCATAATAATGGGGGAAAGTGATGAAGAGGAAGGGGGTACTTACAAAGGCAAAACCAGAAGTGATAGGTTGAGAGGAGACCAAGGTATAATCACCAGGGTACCTGCTAAGAAACATCTTGATGTATGGAATTTCATCAACAATGGCATCAGCATCACCTTTTTCTGATAAAGCATGAGCATAATCCTCGTATGAGTAGTATGCACGGTGGTTCCAATTTTCAAAGTGCAGGTTGTTGACTGTCACACCTTTCATAAAATCACCTCCATGAAACCCCACAATTCCTCTCTTTGATGCCGATTCAAATTGCTCTACTGTCAACAGTGAAGTCAAAAATGCATCGTAGCTCGTGAACAAGACAAGCAACACGATGAACCAGACAAACATTACAAATTTTGACAGATTCCTCGAAAGGTTATCTCCTACAATACAAATGCAAATCACTGTGAGATCTTGATTAAATTCTCTTTCAGAGAGAAAAAGCATCTTAGAGAGAAAGAGGTTGAACTTTGAGCAAATAAGATGGTCAATAGGAAGGACGTCCGGGATACTGTTCCACGTGAAACTTCCGAATCTGGATTCATACGTTCAATAGCCCAAACAACTATGGCATTGAAGATAAAAGAACCAATAGCAACTAGCCATAGATAAATGTCCAGCAGCGGCTTCAAGAAGAACCACACGTCTTTTTTCTTGATTCTTACTAATGTTCCTACACCCAAATCCGTGTAAGTCGCTGTAAAGTCAACATACTCAGATCGGTTGGCCAAGATTGTTGAATCACCAATTACTGCATCGATTTCCTGTCCAGAAGCAAAGCCAGAGACTGCAAAGTAAATTATGTGTTTCATGCTAAATTAATTTGCAGTCAGAATTAAACAAATACATATACCTCATTGTACACCTTCTGTACAAGATCGTCGATACTGACGTTATCAAATGAAATGAACGTGTATGGCACTTTATATGGCAACGCACAAATGCAAGTATAGAATACATCTGCGGAGAACCCAGTGGCAGTTGTAATCTTTTTCTCAACATCATGATCTACATCCATGAAGTACTTAAAGTTGTTTATATTTTGAACACCAAATTTCAAACTTTTTACTGGGAGTTGCTCGTAACACCCAACCTTTTGGAGCAGTTGTAGACCCTCCGGGCCAGACAACTGCTTCAGAACCTAGACTAGGATATAAACGGTCGCTGTTAATATGTGGATGTGCTCTCTTGATTCCTTTTGATAATGTCCAATATCCTACTCTCCTCTCACCATTGTCGACTGCATTCATAATCTCATATCCATTGGATAATACTTTTCCTTCACTAAGCTGAAAATCACCACTTATACCCTTAAATCTGATTTTCAAAACTTCATGTAAAAGCATAAAACCATTATGTGGGTCTCCAACCTTCTCTACAGACTCCGCAAGTGCCCAAATTGTATCGTATGCCCATAAGGCAGGGACAGGCACTTCTTTTGTTATTGAGGTGAAATTATTTCCGTAAAACAAGTTGTGCCATTTTGTCTGATGGTGGAACATACGACCTAAAACCTAGTACCCCTTGTGATGACTCAATGACAGTAAAGTTTGTTGATCGCAAGAGGTCAACTGTTTTTTCAGTTAAAATCCATGCATATCCTTCACTAACCATTCCTAGCATTTTTGCATTTATGATAAGGCTAGATGCTAGTGAAGGTGACACATATATGATAATTACACTTGTGTGAAAAGTCATGATCTTACGCAACTCTTGGGTGATGCTATTATATGTGGCTGAGGCAGAAATGGCACTTCTATAACTGATACGGATGTTTTTATCTTGCAACGACTCAGCTAGATATGGTAAGATCTCTCTACCATCATCAGTGTCCTCATGAATAAAGATAACATTCCTCCAATTGAATGATTTCACAAGGGCAGCAATGCTTTTCGCCATAGTGGATTCGTCTTGTTTGATTTGGAACAAGTATGGGTGTTCCCTTGAGGATGAACTTGCAAAAGAAAATATAGGAACTGCAGCTTTATCAGCAAACGCGGACAAGAACTTTGACGGAAGATGTGTTTCTGGGCCTATGATAGCTTGCACCTTTGTGTTTTTCAGAAGAAGATCTACTGCTCACACAAGTAAAAAGAAACAAATTTGAAAAAAAAATAGATTAAGTAAATTAATATAAACTATGCCTATATCAAAACGAGAGTTAAAAGAAATTAATCAACAAGAGAGCATAATACCAGCTGAAAGAGCTTTTACTGGATCTCCCTCGGAGTCCCTAGTGTGAAGAACTATCCTTGTTTTGTAACTGTGATGAAGAGCATAAAAATCAGATATCGCCATGGTAATGCAACTGTGAATGGACTTCCCAATCGGTGACTCCATATCTAGAATGATTCCCACGCCTATTAATATATCATTATTTATGTTTATGTTTTGGTTTTGGTTTTGTGATGGAACGTAATGTGCACATAATGCATGGTCTAAAATGCACAACAGTATAAGAAGGCAAAGACTAATTTTTCTGTGTTAGCTGTGCACCATATTAATTTGCAGGTAGTTGTTTGTTACGCGCACATCTATATCATAAGCATACAATTTGCATTAAGTGCAAAATACAATAATATCGTATGTGTACTTATAATGGCAGCAATGTAACATTTTGAGATCTTCAAATATATGATAATAAGTTGACAATCAGAACATTCAAGGGAATCTGGAAGCAGTCCACTTGATAATATTTTAAAGCAAGATAATACCAAATAGAATAAAGGATCTGTAAATCAACATCATTCTCCAAATAATTTTCAAAGTAAAACTTAGTTAGTTATCATTTGATGTTGGTGATATATTATAGAAAAATACACTATACAAAAACATATTTTAGTGCGAGACAACAATGTCTGTTGTAATGGACATAGATGACAGACAAATATCTGTCATTGAAAGTCCCGCCATAAATGATAGATGAGAGACACTAAATGAATTTACAACGGACATAAACAACATACATTTACGACATATATTAAAGACCTACCATTTGTATGTCGTAATTTGTAACACTTTTCATATTTCTTGACAGATTTTACGACCTAAAATTGATTACTTGTCAGGTCACTTTGGGGGGGTGGACCTCATGATTTTTGAGAGACTTTTGAGACATACATTTATATGTTATGATTTTATGTTTGTATAATTTTTTTTTCTAAATTGTACAAATATTAATCAAACTAAATCACATAATGCAAAACAATATATATATATATATATATATATATATATATATATATATAGAGAGAGAGAGAGAGAGAGAGAGATGTTCAAAT